CACTATATGCTAACTACTAATTTGAAAGTAAATTAAAAAAATAAATAAAAACTTAAAAATAAAATAAACAAATATAAAAAATGAAATACATATATATATAAAGCCAAAGATAATGTTTACAAACAAAAAATAGTTAAGAACATAAAACCAGTGAATCTGCTAATATCTTCACAGAATTTTGTATTCACAAGCAGATTCAAGATGCATTACATAATTTCTTACCACCATGGCTGTATTCCTGGTTTCCTCCAATCCTTCCTCGAGATCACTCAGAGGCTCAAGGTCCAGATCCTTTTCTTTTTTCTTTCTATTAGTTCTTTTACTTTTTTCCTTCTGTTTTTTACCACTCCCATATATACCAATGTCAGTCCGACTCAGCACCTACAAAAAATAAAACCAAACACTGAGCTCCAGTTTTAAAAATCTTAAAACTGAAAGAATAAAAGGAATCATTTACTGACCATTCATCACGTCCTACGACTTTTTTACATACTTTATACATTACCTAATTCAGTCCTCACAATAACCCTCTGTAGTCGGTAGTATTATCTGTATTTTTACAAACCAGGGAAACTGAGGCTAAAGGAAACAACTTGCCCAAGGACTGGGGTTAGCAATTAGGGAGCAGTCCTCAAACGTGAAACTATCTTACTCCAACTATGCTCTTTACGATGTTCAAATGCTCAAGATAAAAAAAAGATAACGACTATTTAAATTTGTACTTCTGAGAAATAAATCTTTCAATGACAGAATCTATTAGTAACAGAGATAAGATCCAGGCTGATACTGTATTCTGGACGCAGCAGAAGATGAACTGGAAATAAGTCTGCCTAAAGCTCCACATTTCTAGTCAACATTTGATATCACTTAATAGGAATCACTTATATAACCATGACCAGATAAACTGAAAACAACCACCAACGAAACTCCTACCTACAGGTGTTAAAATTACCAACTATTCTTTACCTGCAACAGCATGTAGTAGAATTCTTCTTAAGAAAGGTCCTACCAACCGCCCGTCGTTCTCTCCATGCCCCATTACGGCAGCTGCTACTTGTGACTCTACTTGGGGCATCGTCCAGACTTGCTGGTGGGATAGGGGCATGCCTTTAGCAGATTTTCAGCTCTCCAACTGCTCCAAGTAAGCATATTGGGTTGCTGCCACTCTGAAAAACAAAAGTACACTCTCACACAGCTTACACTTTCTTATGGAGTCTAGCAATACTGGTGAAAGATCTTACAAAGAGTTTAGTGTTAAGCTTTTTTTATTAAATATTATTCTTTAAACCTAATCATTATCTCTTGAACTAACAGAAGCCAATGTCGCTTTTTTAAAAAAGTCTGTAAATTCATGTTGTCAAAGTTTTTTATTTTATTAATTAAGAAGTTAAAAATGTAAAAACCAGTTCAACAGATAATCTAAAAAGAACATGTATATAAATGTCTGATCAGGAATGAGGCAAGGAATTTGCTAATAGATGGAAACAGATGTTTAATATCATACCAGACAATGCAATCATCTTTTTCACCATGTGGAAATCCAATTGTTCCATTATAGATAAGCTTAATTGCTTTTCTATGGACACATTTGTATTACTCGTTTTTTAGTAATCGACAGAGTTGCAGATAGCCTGGTCAAACAAAATCTACACACACTCCTTCAATGAGATAATCTTGGAGGTTCACCAGACAATATCCAGTATTCCACTGAAAGGACATCAGTAATCTCTTTTGCCTATTTCAGTCTTTTCAACTTTTCCAAATACTACAAAGCAGTATTTTAGTTCTGATAACCACCTCCATTTTATGTTCTATAAATACAGATGAGAATGGATATTTTGCCTAAGTCACCACAAGTATTTATGTGTAATGAAGTCATTATTGTTTTTAGAACTATTACTGCTTTACATTTACTAACTAAATGAATCATTACAAAGAGGGGAGAGGGTTAACAAGTAATCCATTACAGTAATTCTGAGTGATAAGATTGGATGAATCTCCAAGCAGACAGGACACGTAACCATTCCTACAAGAAACTGTATATATACCCTTAACATTTATTGTTATTCAGAGGCTCTGAATGCAAGGAAAGGCATGGACTATTAAACATTCCTAATAAAAAAAAGTTAGTTCCTATCTATTAAATGACTCATTTGCCTAAAAATTCATTTGGAAAGTTACACTGAAACATGTGGAAAAATAAATAAGCAAGAAACTTCAGTGAATTTTTTTTTTTTTTTTTTTTTTTTCTTTAAAGTAGGCTCCAGCTCCCAACAGGGTCTTGAACTCACAACCCCAAGATCAAAAGTCCCATGCTCCACCAACTGAGCCAACCAGATTTTCAACTTAAGACAATTTTTACAAAGAATATGGGAAGGTTCTAGCCCTAAGAGATATTAAAATGGTATAATTAAAATCACTGTGGACTAGGATTAAAGAATAGCAAACTGGAAAAGAAAAGAAAGCTCAAATACAGATATGGTTGACAAATACCATGTTTACTAATACTCCTTGTGCCCAGCTATAGCTGTTTGACTATAGAATATCTCCTGGCTAAGGCTTGACAGAGCATTCTTTTCCCAAACTATGTATCTTAAAAGAAGAGTCTGCCTGTCAACAGAAGTTTTCCACTTATTTAGAATCTACAAGTCCATCTCCCCCCACTCTGAAGGGAGGGCTTGGTGGAGGAAAGTCCTCTAAATGACAGAGGAAACACATGGCAGCCACCTACACTTGACGGTCCAGCAGTCATAAATAAACAGCCAACTAAGGGTTATCAGACATTTGAGGACAACCAACTTCCTGAAATAGGTTAAAGATGAAACAGAGGAGCTGCCCTAATGAAAACACAGGTAATTTTAAAATAGCATAGAAAAGTGCATTAACCAGCAGAAAAAATCAACTTAAAACAAAGTAAAACAGAAGTCATTAGAACTTGACAACTACAGTATGTTCTCTCCTAAGTTTAGTAGAGTTGGTTTCTTTATTTGGATATAGTTCTACAATAAAAGAGTAGGTATACCCTCAATACTAAAAATGCTGCCAGGTTTTTATAATTCAGGAGAATTTTATATATTCAAATACAGTTTCATGTCTAGCCCTTATTTCATTGTTTTAATTTTCTTTTTTTCTTTAGAGAGAGAGTGTGAAAGTAGGGTGAAGGGAGGCAGAGGGAGAGAGAATCTTCAGCAGGCTTCACGATAGCTCAGCATGGAGCCTGACACAGGGCTTGATCCCAACCCTGGATCATGACCTGAGCCAAAATCAAGAGTTGAATGCTCAACTCACTGAGGCACCTCATTATAGTTTGTTTTAAATTAAAATGTATATATGTCTTGGGGGCTTGGGTGGCTTAGTCGGGTTAAGCGTCCGACTTCAGCCAGGTCACGATCTGGTCCGTGAGTTCGAGCCCCACGTTGGGATCTGGGCTGATGGCTCAGAGCCTGGAGCCTGTTCCGATTCTGTGTCTCCCCTCTCTGCCCCTCCCCGCTCATGCTCGGTCTCTCTCTGTCCCAAAAATAAATAAACGTTGAAAAAAAAAATTAAAAAAAATAAAATAAAATGTATATGTCTTTCTAATTAGAGAATATGTTATTTTGAGGCCTGGGTACTACCTTTACACCTTCCCTCACATTTCTGCTCCCAAACAACTAGAATAGTACCATGAGTGTTATGGGGTTCAGTAAATATTAATTTCATTTTTTTTTTTTTGCTGCCTCTTATTTTAAAGTAACTTGTGCACATGGCAGACGAAAATTAAAGAATACAGCAGGGAATAAACTCCTATTGCTAAGAGTTAAATAAATAGCTAATTCTGTCATCTTTCACAGCAGGAAGTCAACAAAACAAGTTAACGTTTAAATAGGTAATATTTACTTTGAATGATAGGAGATGGAAGAACAATTGAATTTCAAGTACTATCATTATTTATTCTGTTATTATTCTAAAAAAAATTGAGCTAAAGAATTCATCTGTGAGACAGCATTACCACCGAATAGTAGGATAACTCAAGAGGCTCCTTACCTGAATAGCTTCTACTTTATTTCATGTCCATTCTAGAGCCTTTTGTAAGGCCTCTTTCAGGGACAACACATTGGGTAGAAAGGCTGGAATGTTCTTGGCTTCATTCACTATGCTTTCTAAACTTACGCCACACTGTGCCTTGGTCTAAAAAAATACAAAAAATAGGGTAGATGCATGAGGAAAGTCAAACTCTGCTACCAACATTTAAATCACATTTAGAATGTGCAGAGAACTTTCATATACATGATTTTACTTACTTCTTACCACAATTCTATAAGGAAGGCAAAGCAGCTATTATCTTTATTTCCAATTTACAAATAAGAAAACCTTAGCTCAAAAATCCATTATTTACCCCCAAAGTCATTTAATACAGTGAATGGCACAGCCAGAAATACTGATTCAGAATGAGTCTCAGAGCCCATGCTCTTTTCACTATAGTAAATTGCATCTATTTTAGTACTCCATAATATCTGAAATTGTCAGAGATGCATATTAGACAAAGCAATGTAAAAAAAGCAATAGTCTAGAAGTCCATTAATACTGACCATATACATTTAATTCAACTGCATTCAAGAATACCTAGTTACAAAAAAAGATGAATAAAATAGACCTTATCCTCAACTAATCAGAATACAAGATAAAATTAAACCTGTACTGGGACTAAGAACAAATTAGTATAGGCTCATCAAAATGGGA